CTATGTTCAACCTCTGTCTGACTCCTGAGCTCCAGGCCCAAATGTCTCTCCTACAGTCCCTACAATCCCTACTTAAATTCAGTTCAGTGCCACAAAGAGTAACTGACTGCCCCAATGACCTTGCTCCCCAAACCCTCCCAGACACCCTAGTGGGTTGGGGCTCCTCTGGCTTCCCCTCATCTTCTGCACCTCAGCTCTTGGAAGCTCCAGCCATCTCACAGCTCTGCTTTTCTGTGGGGTCATCCCGGGTTCCCCATCTCCCAGCTGGGGTCCTGTCCACACAGAACACGGAAGCAAGGTTCTCCAGGGACCTGCGCGGGTCCTGCCTGAATTCGACAGGGGAAAGGGGGCAGTAGAGAATGCGCCCACTTCCCTTCCTGCCGTGATAAACAGCTGCCTCCAGGGGTTCCTCAACTACAGAAGCCAAGAGGGTCTGCCCGCCTGGTCCAGGCCCGTGTCTACATGGGCTCAGGAAAGCCTGGTCTTGAACAAATAAGCACCCCGTCTGGGAACTAAAACACAGAGAAGAGCTCTTCTGGAATGCCCAGGTTTAGGTTCAAATGATGGCATTCATTATTTCAGCCTTCCATTCTGCTTTTCCCACAGTGGGCTCAGTTTAAGTCTACACACCCCACTTTGAAATGGCACCGAAAAACATTCCATTCCATTTTCCCCGAGGGATCCTGTCACTTTTCCTTGTTTTACGCGGTATCTAACCTTGAGGTACATGTAAACAGGTGTTTACTAAATTATTTTAATAATGACAGCCACGGCTCAGAGTGTAATTTCATTATCAGAATGTTTAGCACTTATGTCGCTAAATATTTAGCACCTGATATGTTGCAAAACAATTCCCCATGCCTTTTTTTAACCAATCTTCTGTTCTCCTCCACAGTGCCCAACATTAACCTAGGCAACTGTGAGGATGGAATCTAGAAACAGACTAAATCAGTGTGATTATTTTGTTCATTAGGCTTGTTGTTAAGTCTCCAGGTGTTTCCCAAACAGTCTATCAGCTTTCTGTAGTCCATATTGGAGAATAAAACTGTCTGCTGAATTTGAATGCTGAGCACTGATTTCAGGGTCCCGGCAAGGAAGAGGTGAGATGACGCCGGCTGACCTGTACCTCCTACAGAACAAGTAGCTGCTGTGTCAGGCGGGAGGAATTACTGTAAAAGGAAGAAAGTGCTGCCAGCCACTCACCCCTTCTTAACACAGTGCCAAGGGCTTCTCAGACCTCATGGAACTTGCCACGCAACTAAGAAAACCAAGTGAAGAAAGGAACAGAAAAGAAAATGCCAGGCGCTGGAAAACATCACTCGAAATTAGAACAAATCTCAGTTACTTCCTAACCTGGATCTCCTGAGCTTTTCTGCCATTACCCAGCAGGAGACCCAGGCAGACTCATAAACGGAAATCAACTGTGAAGTGCACCCCGTTGTTTTTGTGTTCTTTTCCCTATTAAAGTTAGGAAAATGTCTTCCTGCCTTTGGCGACAAGCTTCGTGACTGCCCAGGTTTGGGTTCCCAGATCCCATGGCTTCAGGTCACCCCATGCTCCACTGGGCTTGGGCACCACCAGGCTCTCTTGTTACTAAACCATCAGCGAAAAATCAGGGAGAAAATTAACATACGGCCATACCCAGTTCAGCGATTTACCCAAAAGGCTCCCTCCAGGCTCGGCGGGATGCTGTCTGTGCTGGGAGGAAATAGACGGCTGTGGGAAGAGCCTGCAATGGACTGGGCGGTCTCCAAAGGAGTTTTCATCACAACAGGGTGGAGGGGTCACTGTGGGACCTGGGTCCCTCAGTGATGCCGCGAGGGCCTCCAGTGTGGGCGGTGGCATGGAGACACACTGGTCTTCTGGGTTGCCTGTGCCAGGGCAGGTGTGGGCCTGATGAAAGCAGCACAGCCCCAACAGGTCACAAGCTCCAAACTCCCCCTACACCTTTCATCACCAGCCGGACCCTGAAGCCCCTTTCCTGACTCCTAAGCCCTGTGGCGCCACCTACTGGAAGAGGCAGAAGCCACATCTACTGCAGGTCTGACCAGGTCGCATTCATTCATTCACGCAGGCATTGATTTGTTCAGCCTTGCATCAAGGCCCTGGACTGAGCAGCGGCCAGTACTAGGAAGCAGGGATCCAAAGATTAGCTGGGCCTCGAAATCTCCATTCGGTATGCTCCTTGGACCCCTTTGGTAGGTCTTACAGAAGAACCCAACTCAAGCAGTTTTAGTTGAAGAAAAAATTGAAGAGTCCTAGGTCATTGCCAAGACCGAGACATGGTCCCAGGGGGCTAATGGCTCATCATTTCATTTGCAAAGCACTTTGCCTGCAGCATCTACCTGTAAGAACAAGTCTCCCTTTACTATGAAGAAGAAATGTTTAAACAGTCTTAGGAGACTGCGTTATCAATACTCCTCTCTCAACACCCCAGGTCCCTGAAGGGCATTAGCCTCTTGTGTGATCTATTTTAAACAGCTTTTCCTTATTCCATGCGTGTATACACACACACACACACTTAAATACTGTGAGTGTGTATTCTATGGAAATAATGAAAACTTGACTCTTTTTAATATATTCTGTCATATTCTGAAACACGAAAAAGTACCTGACCAATAGTAGGAATCATATGCTGAACTCCAAAAGCCCCTTTTCTCCAGTGTTCTCCATGCAGGATCAAGAAAAAGCAAAGCTAACGCCACAGCTTTCTTTAACCTGCTCAAGCTGATGTGCGAGCAACATTGTTCTCTGACCATTTGTAAAGAAAGTTAACTGTGATCATTATTATTATTACCTTATTACAGCGATTCTTACTCTGCTGAATTGCTAAGTAGTTAAAAGAAAAGCACAGTGTGTCTTGCACTCTGAGAACACATGTTTCTCCCCTCTGCCTTGTCTCTAGCAGATAAGGGACATTCTGGTGTTTTATTTGTTCAATGGTTGACTATTAAGACACTCATTTGCTAGCTGGAGCCTGCAATGGAAAATCAGCCCAGAAAAGTGGGAGGCTGGCACAGGCCCAGAGCAGACAGGGCACCAGAGGCGAGGCAAGGCGTGAGTGTGCCACCCCAGCCTGAAACCCAGGGTCAGAAGCTCGTCCTTCCATGAACTTGCAGGCTGTTCCCAGGCACTGACCTCCAGTCTCCTATTCAACCCTCAAAACACACACACACACACCCACTCTCACACATGCACACACTCCACAGAAAAGGTGAGGGTGCAAGGACTGGTGCATTCCATGTCTTGGAGTATGTTGGGAAGAGACGGATGCACAGCCCCGGCCACTGGCAACTTTTTTGGTTCTCGACTCTTTGGTTCGTCACCATTACTGATCTTCTGAGGCAGTCCTAGACTCCTCTTCTGTCTCCTGAAACTCTAACCCCTATTACAGCTCACCCACTCCCTTTAGTGATTAGCCACAGCAACCTCTTCCTTGTCAATATTCATCCTCTTCTAGGTCTGCCTTCCCCGCCTCCACCGCCCTCCTCCCCTCTCCTACCCCAAAAACCTGGGCAATGCCAACCAACTAAAGAAGAGAAGATGGAGAGCAGAGGGGGGACAGGGATCTTGGTGCTCTTCCACCTGGGAACCGCATCTAGAAATGGAGGCAAAACTGCTCCCATGAATTATATAATCACTGCAGCTTCAAGGGAGAGAACTGGAATTCAGGTTGCCATAGTGTTTGTTGGCATGTTGCTGGAAAGGTAGAGCTCTCAGCCACTGGTTCCCTTGCTCCCTTCCCCTCTACCTTTCTCAGGAACCTCTCTGGGGTTGGCACTCCTACTTTTAATGTCGGTTCCCAGCATACGGCGGGGAGATGCTGAGACGCAAAGGGGCAAAAGAAAACCAGAGTAAGGAAATGGGATCAGAAGGGGTTTAATCCTGCCCTAAGAGGAGTCCTTGTAAACTAGTTACGATTATCATCCTGTGAATAATCATTATTATTACCACAGTACATTGCCATTGACAGTGATACTTAGGGCAATACTACAGAGTTCGCCTCTTCAATGCTGCTTAGACTGAGGAGGTGGGTAAAGCACGCAGTCTCAGAACCTGGAGGGGAGTCATCTTGCATCCCCACTCTTCACAAATACCACTCTCTTTTGTGTCTCCCTCCCTCCCTCCTAAACCATTCGCTACCCCATCAGCTACAGAAGGGACAGGGGAGCAGGTGAGGGATGGGGTCACCAGTAGAGAAATCCAAACATGGATGCTGCCCTTGTGACCCCGAAGTCCTGTCTCACCCCAGAACCCTTGACAAGATTCTTTCTTCCAAAGGAGGCCAAAATCCCCATGCTGCCACCCATGCTGGAAAGCAGAGAAGACTGGACCCAAAATCAGTCTCAGGAGAGACGGAGACCAGGCAGGCCGGCTGGCAGCTTCTGGCTCTAAAGAGTGAAGGCCCTGTCCCCAGAAGGTGGAGCTGGGAGCAAACAGAGGGGAAAAGCTGGACAGAAAGACCTGGAGACAACTCCTTCCACCAGGCTGGTCTTCGGAGGATCACTTGGAAGAACCCAGGGAAGGAACAGAGACCAGCAGTGACAGACAGGCTTTCAGGGCAAGAGAAGAGGAAGAGTGGAAACAGGGAGGCTCCGGGAACTGGGAGAGAAAAGGGCGAGACTACACCAAAGAGACAGAGAGAGCAGTGGCGAGAAGAAAGAGATGTCACGCCTGGAGGTTGCCAGAAAGCCCCGAGGGACCACCCTGTCTGCACTCCCCCGCCTCAAAACCTTAAATGCTGAGCAACGTCAAAGAAAATAACTTGTTAATATGGGGGGAGAGCGGCGAGGGAGAAAGTTTCCAGGAAGTAGGGAGTTACCTGACTGCCTTTCACCATCACAGGGGGAGCTGGTGACACTTGCGGCCAAGGATGGAGATGCTCGGAAAACACTGGGCAATAGTATGGAGCCGCGTGAGCCAGGCACACCCTTCCATGATCTCCTTCAAACACGAAACAGCAAAGCCCACACACCGCCCGGCTCCTCGCCGCTTCCATCCTCAGGTGCTAGCCCACATATGGGTGCGAATGAGAACACACGCGGCGTGGGCGCGCTCGGGGTCAACGGCAGTGGAGAGGTGGGTGGGTGTAGGTGAGCGGCGGAGGAGGGAGGGAGAGAGGAAGAAGGGGACCGACGGAGGGGGAGCGAGAGGGGCGCGCTGGGGCTCACATCTGCACCGCCGCCCCCACCCGCCACCTGGAGCGCGCCGCCCAGGGCAGGGGCGCCTGGACCAGAGTGGACGCCAGGCAGCCGGGCTCTCCAGGCGAACGCGAGAAAGCGAGGCGGCGGCGGCCACTTGGGGAACTTTTCCCCCCTCGCCTGGAATTTCATAGGAAACACATGCTCTGGAGAAGCTGGGGCCCGGGGGGGGAGGGGCGGGAATTTTCCGCTCCGTCTCGCGCGGCGGTTCGGGCCCCGGTCCCGCCGGGCTCCCGGGCGCTCCGACGAGGCGGAGGCGCCCCTGGCGGACGCGGCCCCGGGCCACTCTGCAGGGACCGACCCCGGGGCCTCGGGGAGCGCGGGGAGAGCAGGAACCCGGTGGAGAAGGCAGGGAGCCCCGGCGAGGCGGCGGGGTCCAGCCTTACCTTGGTGGTTTTCCTCTGGAATGTACATCCTCGTATTCTCATTGACCATGGACCAAAAACGGTTTTCAAAGGAGGAGCAGCCACGAAGAGGAAGAAATGTGAAAACACCCCCCAGCGGGTCTGGATTAATCCCTCCTCCGAGGCCGGCGGCTTTCGTGCAAGATTCGAGGAAGCCGTGGTCTGCAGTGTTTCTTCTTCCCTGCCGACGATTACCTGATTCCCATTATGGCATCAAACCCCAAAAACTGCTCCTTTCCACTACTGCCTCCTCGAGTGAAATTGTAATGCATCCTCAGTACATCCGGGCCCCTTCCAAGAATTGAGCACCGCACCTCTGGCGGCTACACCATTTGAAAAAATAAATCGGGAGAGGCAGGGCGAGAAGAGGCGGAAAGGAGGGGCAGGGGGCGCGCGGGGCCCGCCTGGGCCGGCAGGGGCCGAGGCGCCTCTGCCCACTGCCGGCGAGTCCTCCTGAGGCCCCTACCCGGCTCTCTGCTGTCAAAGGGAGCCGGCAACTCCTGGGCGCGGAGGCAGGAAGAGCCGCCGCCGCCGCTCCGGGCCCGCCGCGCCGCGCCGAGCGCCGCTCTGGCAGGAGCTGTTTCTGCAGAGGCAGCGAGAGGGAGACACCGGGCGCGCGAGAGCGCCGCGCTCACTCCCCCCGGCCCAGCCCCGCCGCGCCCGCGCCCGCCCCTGCCCGCGCCGCCCGCCCGCCCGCCCGCCCGGCGCGCCGGAGGCAGACGCGCTGAACGCTTCCAGATGTGGCGGCGGCGGCGCGCAGGGAGCCGGGCGCACGGCGCGGGGCGCACGGCGGCGGACTGGAGCCCGAAGTTGGGCCCCCTCTCGGCGCCCGCGGCAACGCCGCCCGAGCGAGCCCTCGGCCCGCATGACGTCAAGGGGAGCGGGCCCCGGCCGCCGGCGGGCGAGGGGCGGCGTGAGGAGCCCCCGGGGAGGCCGAGGCGCGCGGGGGACCCGGACGCCCGCCGTGGTGGCCGCGGTGGCCGCGGCGCGGACACACCCCCTCGCGCCCCGCCGGCGGCGTCGCGCCCCCCGCGCCGGCCTGCAGCCCCCCGCCCGCGTTCTCTCCTCAGCTGCGGCGGCGCGTCCCTGCTGGGCCGGCCACGCCGGGAAGGCCTCTGTGAGCGGAATTCCAAGGAGGAGGAATACAATTTGCCCAACTACCAGAGTCTGGTTTCGGATCGGGCCACCGAACAAAACGGCAAAATGAGCCGTGATTCCGTGATTCTGTTTGATCAATTATAATCAGAGCGGTTGTAGAAGTGACAGATAGAGGAGGGGAGGGGAAGCGGGAGGGGCGGCGAGGCGGAGCCTGGTAGGCGAGGCAGCGGTGCCCAGATGTCTGAACAGATTCCTAGACCCAGGTTTGCTAATTCCTTGGAGGCAGCCGAGCACGTGTTCTACTAGGATATCCTTACCTACTTCTCTTAATTATTTCTGCAACTCCGGCAGGAACCGATCCAGCACCTCTCCTTCCCGGCGAAGCAAACACTTCCCTCCAGAACTCCCTGCAGCCGCAGCAAGTTCCACGGCACCCCCTGCAGGACCGGGCTCCCCTCCAGTAGGACTTCGTGATCCCTTTCAGGGGGGCCTACAATTCCCTCTTGGGGAAAACCTGTACCTGCCTCCACGTAAGACCTCCTCGCTTCCACATCCACTCTCATTCCCTGGGGGACCTAACCATTCCCGTGGCTTTCAGCAGCTGTCTATATCAAATGTCTATCTCCAGCCCAGACCTCTCTCCTGAATTCCAGACTACAGCCGACTCTGTCTAATAGACATCTCAATCCTAATACATCCAAACCCTGAATTCCTGATCTCTTCAAAGGCTGCTCCTCACACAGCCTTCCCCATCGCAGTCGATGACAATCCCATGCTTCTAGTTGCTCAGATCAAAATCCTGGAGTCCCTCTTGAGTCCTTTCTCTTATCATTCCACGTCTAGTCCATCAGGAGATCCTGTTGGCACTGCCTTCAGGCGAATCCAGAACCTGACCACTTCTCAGTTCCTCCACTGCCACCGCCCGGGGCTGAGCCAACATCCTTCACCCAGGTTTCTCCAGTAGCTGGTCCCCTGGCCTACCTTCCCTCTCCCCTCCTTTGGTATTTTCTCAGTACAGCAGTTGGAGTAACCCATTTAAAACATCACATCACAGCTATCCTCTGCTCAAAACCCTCCGTGGTTACCCATTTCACTTAGTAAAAGCCATGGTCCTTGTGGTGACCACAGGAATGGCCGAGTACAAATCCTCTTACATCATCTCCTACTTCTGTCCCCCTCACTCGGGATACATTAGCCTCTTGGCCGGGCCCCAGACAGTCCCGAAATGACTCCCCAACACACCACACATTGTAAGCCCTTTGCTCTAGCTATTCCCACTGCCTGGAACACAAACGCCCTCGGCTCCTTCAAAGCTTTCCACAAATCTCACCTGTTCAATGAGGCTCACCAGGACCTCATCCTGATTCATCCTGACGGACCCCCACAGCACTCCCAATCTCCCCTTACTCTTATTGAATCCCTGCCTAACATAGTATATAGTTTACTTATTCATTAACTTTTTTGTTTATTGTCTGTATCCCCCCCCACTAAAATGTAACCCCCATGAAGACAGGAAGTCATCTATTTTGTTCACCAGTGCCTGGAGCAGTGTCTGGCAGATAGTAAGTACATAATATGTGTTGAATGAAATGAATGAGTGCCTGAGCACTTTCAGGAGTGTTGCAATTCCCCCTATCAAAATGCATCTTGTTGGTCCCTTAGTTGATACCTGAAACCGTACCACTCCTGTTTCCTTCCTTTATCCAGTGGTTCTGGCCCCAGTTTAAAATGCAAGTGCCCCTGGGAGAGGTATTAAGCTGTATCAGTCATCTTCATTCTAATGTGAATAGTGATCTCAATTTTGTTGGTTACAAGAGAAATCTGGCCTCTTTGCCATTCTGGTGTGTTCATACTCAATTTTCAACCTAATAGAGAAAATTAGAAATGACACAAATTCAAATATTTCTCATTTACTTTAGGATGCATTATAGGCCTGTGTTTCAGAGGCTGCTGTAGCTGATAATTTGTTTAAATGAATACTAAAATTGGTTTGCATCCCCTTTACACACAAGTGCAGGAATAATAATAATAGCTAACACTATTGAGTGCTCTGTGCCAGGTACTGTGACAGGCATTTTACAGCCTTTATCTTATTTAATCCTCATTGCAACTCAATAAGCTATGTGTTATTGTCATTATTATCCCCATTTTATAGATATGGAAACTGAGACTTTGAGACTTAAATTACAATGTCCAGGGTCACCCAGGTGAGTAACTGTGGAGCCTGGACTTAGCCCAGGCGTATCTGACACCAAACTCAGGCTCTACCATTATCTTACTCCTTCTTCTGAAGGGTGACGTGTGGGTGAGCTGGTGGGGGCAGGGCTGCAGGGAGATGAACAGTGTGAAATGATTGCAAAATATGCTGTAGATAATTCACAAAGAGCCAAGTCACTGGGAACAGAGTGTATGTGTGTTAGGGGGTCACGTGCAGGATTGATAGCCCAGCTTTTCTAAAGGTAGGCACTGTATAAATCTAGCAAGTAAATATTACCTTCATGCTTCTTTAGTTTCATTTTTCACTTCTCTTTTCAGCTGTGAAATGTGTTCTTTCCTTTCCAGAAAAAGGTATTTCCTAAATATTTGGTCTTGCAGTATACGCCCATATCCCAGCTTTTAACTTGGAACACAGCCCTGGGTGTGCTCTTTCGAGGTAACAAATACTCAACGTGACAAAAGGAGACCATTGTGAATTCTGATTTGGGGATTTGGGAAGTGGTGGGAGCAGAGGAGGGAGTCTGTTTTTCTCTGTCATTGAATGGTTTGATTCTCCAGCTAAAGAATCTCCCATAGGTCTTCATGTGTGCCCTCTTTCTACATAGTATTATGCCTATATTTGCATGAGCCTTTTCTCTCCTCTTCCTTACTACATTTTAGGTGTCTTCAAGAAGAGAACTGTGTTTATTCTTTGTGCATAACATAATGCTTTGTACATATGGACACTCAATTTGTGTTGAGTGCATGATTCACTCTGGAAAAGATTTTTAAATGTGACCACAGATATTTTCTTTGGAAGCAATTAAGAGTGCACTGAATTTGTTAATTACAGTGTATTTGTAAGAGTGAAAACCTGGAAATGAACTAAATATTCAACAAAAATGTTGGTTAAATAATAACACTGAGGCCGGGTGCGGTGGCTCAAGCCTGTAATCCCAGCACTTTGGGAGGCCGAGACGGGCGGATCACGAGGTCAGGAGATCAAGACCATCCTGGCTAACACGGTGAAACCCCATCTCTACTAAAAAATATAAAAAACTAGCCGGGCGAGATGGCGGGCGCCTGTAGTCCCAGCTACTCGGGAGGCTGAGGCAGGAGAATGGCGTGAACCGGGGAGGCGGAGCTTGCAGTGAGCTGAGATCCGGCCACTGCACTCCAGCCTGGGAGACAGAGCGAGACTCTGTCTCAAAAAATAATAATAATAATAATAACACTGAGAGATTATTCTAAGTGCCTCACATATATAAAGTCATTTGCTCCTCCAAACAACCCTGTAAAGGAATTGCTTTTATCCCCATTTTACCAGTGAGGAAACCAAAGCACAGAAAGGTTTACTCACTTGCCTATGTTTTCACAGCCAGTTAATGTTGAAAGACCTGTGATTTGAACCCCAGCAGTCTTCAGAGCCTATGCTCTTCACCACCACATAGACGAACTAGAGTGCATCCACACAGTGAAAGTCTACGTAGACAAGAACAATATTAAGAATATTAGTAACGTGGAAAAAAATGATTTACACTAAAAGAAAAACAAGTCACAAAAATATTACAGGCAATATGATTTCATTTTCCTTTTAATGTCAGGTTTATATTTGAACTAGGGAAAAGACTAAGTAAGGTTCACACCAAAATATTGACAGTATCCTCAAGCTGGGGTATGTGGGGGGAAAAAAATGTTGACAGTAGCTTTCTTTGGGAGGGGGATTACACGTAAATGTTTCTTCTTCTTCTTCTTCTTCTTCTTCCTTAGCTGGCCCAAGGCTTGGAAAGCCAGGTTGCCAAGCAGGCTCTTCCTCTTCCCTTAGCACACACACCTCTTGACACAGAGCCCTCCCCCTACTGCCTAGCCAGGGAAGACACCGCTAATAAATCTCTTCAGAATAACTCTGTCATCAAGTCTGCAAGGTGTCCCTTCTATTTCTCTCCTTCTGCCCACCACAACAGCCACTCAGCACTAAATGCTGCCACCCACCTGCAAAAAATTACCTGTCCAGTGTTTCCAGCCCAAATGCATTACATTGTCCTCATTGCAATCTGAGCTGCCTGGTTGAAGCATCAGCCACTCTGTGTTGGTGGTAGAGAGCTAGGAACACCAAGATGATGGGTAAATCTTAACAATGACCTTTTGGGAAGATGTTTCATCCTTAATTTCTAATCCACATAATTGCCTGTATATAAGGGTGGACATTTCAAACCAGGTAAAATTGATTAGCAAGCCAGAGTAGGAAGAGGGGAGTCAGAAAGCCCACTTTAAATGTGCCTTCTGACACCTTACCTTCTTTATCTCCCCATAGGGCCACGCACAACCGTTCCTTCTCAAAGGCCAGAGATGGGAACATCAGTGTGGTGGTTTTGCATTAGGTCAGCTTAACTAAGCTGGAACCTATTTCCCAGAATTGCCTTCCTTATGTGGTTCTGCATTAAGATTGTCCACAACAGGTATTTGTGGAGCCTCTGGGAGGTGGACATGAAGCAGCAGCATGCATTCATCGTCACCGATCTGCTGGCTTACCCTGATGGTGGAGCCCACAGCTCCTCCAGCTCCTGCTAGATCTTCAGCTACTCTGAGGCCTGGGCAAAGTACATGCCCAGCTCTGTAGTAAAGATTCCAGCTTTATGTTTCATAGTCAAGATCGGCAATGGTAAAAGGCAAACAAGGGTTTTATTTGTCCTTGTGGGCTCCACTTTGGCCTCACTCTCTCCCACATCCCATCCTGCTTTCCTCCTGCCTTTCGGCACTACAGCAACTTCAGACCCATCCTCAGATGCAGAGGTAGCAGCCTTCTGCAGATTCTTCACCAGCTTCCACAACTGGATAAGGTCTAATCTCTGCGATCAATCCCTTCCTCCAAGTCACTCACGGTGGTACCACTTCCCTGATCAAACCTGACTGATGCATCGGTGTAGTGCTCCCACCCGTGACCAGGTTACTTGTTTAGATATTTTTATGAGTAAATAGTGCCTGGCACATAGTTGCCCTCAATATATATGTTTGTTGAATTTATACTAATTATCATCATTTAATATGCCTGGTGAATATCAGGTGCTATGATAGGCACTTTAAATACAGCTAACAGCCTGGTCTTTGGAGACAGGCCAGACACAGAGCCGGGTTCTGCCTGCTATGAGCTACGGGAATGTGGACACCTGACTTTAACTCTTAACACCCAGTTTTTACAATATGAAGCTAATAGTGGTACCTACCTCCATAGGGTGGTTGTGAGAATCAAATGAAATAGTCCAGGTAAAGTGTGTGGGGTGCACAGCATGCTCATTTAATGTTAGCTGTTACCATCCTTCACCCCTGTAAGGAAGATTTGTTGACTATCTACTATGTGCCCTGAATTCACCACAGCCCTGCCAAAGAGACTTACCACCATTGTACAGATGCAAAACAGTAGCTAAGAGGTTAACTTTCTTGCCCAAGATTGGTTTGTCAGCAAATTATAGAATTGGGATTTGAACCCAAGTCTACACAAACCCAGAGGCCATGCACTGTCTGCTACTATGCACAACATTTCAGGCACTAGAAGTAAAATGGAGGAGAGAGGAAGGCTTTGGGGAAAATCCCCCAACCCACAGTTCAGACAGCAGAGCTGAAGAGGGTGCAGAATGGCCTTTCTCCTTCTTTTGGAAGACCCATAAAAACGCTGAGGCCTTCACAACTCATGTTAATATTTAAAAACCTCTGCTGGCAGAGTTCTCCCTTCTATCACATCTCCATCCTTCCTCCTGTCTGCTTTTGTAGAAGCCATAGGACGAACCAGATCCCACCTAACCCACTGGGCTATCTTTGTACACCACACTTAGGGAAAACTCTCCTGGCAGCTCAGCCCCAGTGTCCGTCCCAAGGGGAAGCCGGAGTACTCAGGGTGCGAGGATAATTCAAGCCTCATTCTACAGCAGCCTAAGTTGTTCGGATAATAAGGTGTGGTAACATGACTAACATGAATACCCTTGTGATTTTCAGCAATACTTAGCCCCCAAAGACAGAAAACAGCAAGGTTATTTATGGCCTGATCCTGGGGACTGGATCTCTAGGTGGGAGAATTCACCTGCCATGTGTGAATTCAAATCATGGCCCTCTCTACCTCAGCAAACCAATGGTGCATGCTAATTATGTAACTATCTTGGACTTCTGTTTGCTCATCTGCAAAATGGGAATGTGTGGCCTCATCTCCTGAGGCTCTTGGGAAAGAGAAGTTGATACCAAGGGAAGCGCTCAATCACCAAAGTTATACCTTCATTACTTGTTAAGGCCCTGAGAACGTTTGTTTCATCTGGGTGACCTGCTGACCCCCAGAAGGAACCGCATAGTCAAGGCTCAGACCTATCCACTATTGTGTCCACTTTTTTAGGAGTTCAAAGGCCATCACGAAGCGCAAGCCATTCCCACCTGTATTCAATTTTTGCCATAGCAAATTACCACTAGCTGGGTGTTTTAACACAACAACAATTAATTATCTCGCAGTTTTGGAGGCCAGAAGTTCAAAATCCAGCAGGGTGTGCTGCCTGCAGTGGCCCTCAGGGAGAACCCCTTCTTTGTCCCTTCCAGCTTCTGCTGGCTGGCAGCATTCCTTGGTTTGTGGCCACATCACTCTGTCTCCATGGTCACCTTGCCTCCTCATCTCCTGGCAGTCAGATCTCCTTCTGCTTCACTCTTACAAGGACACCTGTCATTGGATTTAGGACTCCCCAGATAATCCCAGACAATGTCTTCATCTCAAAATTATTAAGTTAATTACGTCTACAAAGACCCTTTTTCCTGATAAGCTAAAATTGACACTTTCTGGGGATTAGGACATGTACATACATTCTGAGGGGCCGCTATTCAACGCACTACACTACCCTAACCTACATGAATGTTTCTTCATCCATTTTCATTTGAATCTCAAGCCCAACGTTTGCTAATTCCTGAAACTTTAGCAACCTCTTTCTCTCTCCCACTGAGGCTCAGTTTCTTCACTTATAAAACAGAAGTTATTGCCATATGTTAGAGCTTAAGTGAGTGGTGACAAAGGTGCTTCACTATGGAAGATGCTCCTTCCCACAGAACTCAGTCTCACACTTAACCCTTTCAGTGAATCACCCTCGGCTATTTGATTAGAGAAACTGAATGCTTGGAGAGGTTCAGTAACCTGGCCGAGCCAACTCAGCTGGGTAGAAGTGGACCTGGCTTTAAACCCCAAAGACCATTCTGATCCTCAACCTCCCTAACCCCTTTACCTTCTTAACCGTTCCAGGCCAGTTCAAACATGTTCAATGGAGCTATATAGAAAATGTCTTCTCAAAGGAAGCTGGAAAGTGTTCTTTTCAGTAGGGCTTTCAGAACCCTCCTCTTCTAATTAGCTTTATAAATGTTCTCTCTTCTCTTTTTACCCTTCTCTGAACGCATTCTAAGTTCTCTGTCATTTTCAAAACACGGTCCTAAGAGTAAACACCTTTATCTGGCCATCAGAAATCAGCCATCAACCCTCATTCTATTCACAGTCCTCCTATTAATATAACTCTTGGCAAACTCACCTTTCCTTCCATATTTCAGCTGGCATTCAATCTGTAATGTCTTCTGTCTCTGACCCCTGGTTCTTCTCCCTCTCATGCAAGGATGAATAATAAATGATGGCTTAGTTCTTATTTGCATTCTGGATTATTCTTTCCTGAATGGTCACTTTGCATGCATCTCTCTTAGAATTCCACGTTAATTTCCAGCTTGCTTTCCTACAGTATCAGAAGTCATGTGAGACTAGGGTTATATAGCCATGAACATTTCTGGTTCCTAGTCTGACATAGGTCAGGTAACCCTTTACTTGATATGACATTTGGGACCTGGCCACCTCAACAGTTGAAAAAGGATATTTGTTCTCTAAAGCCTCCTTTTAAAGATGATGCACTGTTCTAATTGTAGATTCCAAGGATCTTTTATAGGGGTACCCTTTGGTTAACCTGCAGCAGTCCCATCCCTGAAATCTAAAAGAATATAGACTACACTGATAGGAATAATTCCAAATATTTGCATTCCTGGAACGGTAAACTCGAATGCCATAAAACTAATTAACATTTGGCTAGTTCACTCTAAGTTGTTGATTAGGCCATTTTCCAAGTATCTGGGGGTGGGGAAGTTACAGCTAATCATCACCACCCTACTAGAGAGGTCACTGCTGCATAGTACGTCTAGATATAGGCAAAGTCAAGAGGGCAACCAAAAAGATATCTTCTCAGTAGTGACCATCACTAACTTGCCAAATGGCTTCCACTCAGTGGCCAAGTGGAGCCTGGTGGAAACAAGAGCTGGGCAGAGTTGTCAAGTATGGCAGGACACTTCCAGTCATGTCTTCATATGACCCAGCTGAAGTACCTCTACCAGCTAGATAGGTCTTCCTTCAGCCAAAGAAGGTAAGTTTCAATCTCCCAAGATTTATCATTTTTGCCTCTTTACATAGCAGATTCAGATTTTCTGCCTTTGTCGTGTTCAGTCCTGCTTACATAATGATTTTTTGTGATGAATATAACCCCATTATTTTATTATTAATCACTAACTCTTGGTAATCTTTTTTTTTAACCAATGAACAATTGACCAATGCCACCCATATCAACTTCTACTATAGTTTAGTTAGCAAGAATATTCTGTTTTCTTCTCCTCTGGGGCACAGGGCAGAGTAAGCTTCTCAACCGTTCTGCATTTGGGCACAAATATTGGACTAGTCCTGACTAATAAAATGTAAGTAGAAGTGACTGTGTCACCTCCAGGTTGAGGTGATGGAAGACCTGTTGCAATTATTCTGTCTCTCCCTTCTCCTGCCACATTATCCAGATGGTACAGCTGCAAGATAGAGAAGCATCCATCAACCCTGGATTCCTGAGTGACTTTGTGAACCAGAACCTCTCACTAGCCCCCTCTGGATGCAGTATGATCAAGAAATAGATTTGTACTCTATTAAGCTCCAGGAATGTGGAAAATATTACCATAGTATAATGTTAACTGTCTTGACTAACAGGCTGGAATAAATCAACAACTCCATGTGTGTAACCCACGTGTGGTTAGGGATTTGCCAAGTTCTGATTCATTGAACTGACTTCTGTTCCAATCAGCATAATATCAGTCAATGATTCTAATTCGTAGGAGGGCAGGCCGTAACGATAATGATCTTGCGATGAAGTAATATTGAAAACATTTATAATTTATGTAGCATATAATAGTTTTATTTATTCTAGATAAACTGGTGATGGTGTCTATAGCAACTGATTATACAGATGAAATACCCCAAAATACGTTTTCCTCTTAAAATCTTCTTAAAGTACAGGTATATTTATGCTTGTGTTTATATTGAATCGCTTATGCAAACTATTCTTGTGTGGATGAATCAAGAACATGTTAACAATTTCCCAAGTGGACTTGGAAAGTAATTGGAGTAGTGTAGGACATCTTGAAACTCGTGTACAAGTAATGATTTTTTTTTTTTTTTTGAGACAGAGTCTCGCTCTGTCGCCCAGGCTGGAGTGCAGTGGCCGGATCTCAGCTCACTGCAAGCTCCGCCTCCCGGGTTCACGCCATTCTCCTGCCTCAGCCTCCCGAGTAGCTGGGACTACAGGCGCCCGCCACCTCGCCCGGCTAGTTTTTTGTAGTTTTAGTAGAGACGGGGTTTCACTGTGTTCACCAGAATGGTCTCGATCTCCTGACCTCGTGATCCACCCGTCTCGGCCTCCCAAAGTGCTGGGATTACAGGCTTGAGCCACCGCACCCGGCCCAAGTAATGATTTAATAGAATTCATTTCCAGATCCTCAACTTTCATATGTGCTCAGTCTTCATATTCACTGGAAAACAACCTGGGGCAGAGCCTGGAGCCCACCTGCCGCTTCTCCTGTCTCTCAAAGGGGCATCCATAGCCTACACTTCAGCAGAGAGGCACACCTGTCATTCACCCTGCATCCTTCGAGGTCCATATCCCTGTGGCGTGAATGCCCCCAGGACACCAAACAAGGAGATCTAGGAAATACTGGTTCCCAGACAAGGAGACATTTGAAATACAGGTGTCTAGAAAGCCTCTTGAATCAGACAACATATCCCTTCAATCATGATCTTTTTAAAATATATATTTCTGGTACATTTTATATTAAGAATTACCTCGAAAAGCTCATAATGTAATTATGTTGTTTTGCTCAGTTGTATATTATTAGTATCTGTGATGATAATTCAATCCAAAAGAAATGTATAACACAAAGCCTTATGGTTATAAAATTTTTAATTTTAAATTTTAATTTATATACATCTTTTTGTTGCAGAGTAATATGATAGTGTGACCAGTAAAAGACTTTCAAGCATAAAAATATATTGTATTAGGGTAAAATTTTAAGAAGGAAATGGAATGTAAATATGTATCCAAGGAGAAAAAGAAATGATGAAAAATCTTTGTTAAAAACAGGGCTTTTATATATTTTTGAATACATAATAGAAGGTATGAAATAGCTGCAGTGTTTATATTTTATTGGAAACTTTAAAAGAGTAATGCAACCATTTTATGTTAAACTGTCAAGATTTATAAAGCACCAGAAATTGCATCATTTACAACCATTTAAAATTATCATGAAACTTTTGGGATGTCAACTTGAAAATGCATGATGAGGCACAGACTTTTTCACAACTTTTTTGGGGGGATCTGCAAGCAAAGCACTGCGGAGGCCCTGGGTCAGCACAGGCTGCAGCCCTGTAAGGTCCTAGCTTGGCAACCCCGGCCTCTGATGGTTGGTGCAGGCTGCTGCTCTTCCCAGGGAAGGCCAGGGCTACAGACCCTGGCAGATAAGTAAATGTTCATAAAACAAATGAACATCTCTGCTTTCTCATTCTCACCCTGTCTTCTATCCCAAACATGATCTTGAACGATATGCCTCCCTTCTTGGGGTTTTTAGTCTTCTTGAGATTCTTGGAGCGAGCAAGCAAGGTGTCCTGTGGTCACATTATCCCAGAGGATATCAAGAATACTCTTAGCAGTGCTGTGACCCACACACCCCTAAGCAGTATTTTTCAACCCAGGTTGTTTGGATTTTATTCTACAACAGAGTCACTCAATTTTAAGTATGTTTTTAACCCAGAAAGGCCAAACACAGCAGACACTAGGACTTCACTGCCTATTTCTACCCTTTCAATGATTAGAGATGGAATTTTTCTCAGCCTCAAAAGAAATACTTTCAGTTCCGGCCTTCAGTCAGGATTTATTGGACAGATCTGATTCTGCTGTATTTTCATTTACAGTCTGGAAGACAAAAGCATCAGGTATTAGAAAGAACTCTTGAGTTTAAACCTTGTATGTATTACCACTTGGCTGTGTAACTTTAGCCAGGGCTCTTATGTTCTTTGAGTATCAGTTCCCTCAACCATAAACCAAGGAACTTTCAAGGAATGGATTCTGAGTACAAAGTGAAATATTAATATGAAAAAGTCTTGGCAAGGAAAAGTATAGATATAGCAGGGTACTTATTACCACAAAGATGGAATTTTCTATCATCTTTGACAATCCGTTGAAGCACCCAACAGTCTTTCTTGGTCCAACCCAAATATCATTAACCACAATTCCAACCATTTTCTTTTTGTCTTTTATTCCTCTTTGGAAAAAGAGACTAGTTGATCACCATCTCTTACATAAGAATCAATTAACTATTTGAAAGAGGATACTTAAAACCAGTTCTTCAGAAGTGGAAGTCAAGGTATTCAACGTCTCCACATCACCCAGCCTACCACTTACTCAGACTTTGATAACGAAATTCTGTCACATTTCTTATAAAAGTCTAATTAAATCTCAACAGTTTTATCCATGTAACCATTTTCTGCTTGAAAATTTCCCTTAAAACTCTGAAAGTAAACCCTATAAGGGAGGTAGTTAGACCAGCTAAATTATTTGCTGTCACTTCTATGCATTTAGCGAAGGCCCACCAAGATGGATGTTTTGCAGAGAGCAGTTCAATGTTAAAAGAGCAGAGCTAAGAACATTTCCTATCACACACAGACCTCATTTAAGCCATCTTTGATAGTTTCTACAATACCCAAATCATGAATGTTAAAAACAGAAACAAACGAACAAAAAAACAGATGGAGGTTTGCTTCCATCCTCAAAGTCTTAACTCTCTCCCTGCTGAAGTCATGGGTGCACCACCACTGGGTAGAAAAGCACCTGGATGGGAAAGCAAATTGAATGAAGAGGTGATGACCTGAAAGAAAAATCTAGTGCTGTCAGGCTTTCCATGGCATCCAAGTAGATGCACTGGTTTCTGCTATCCTCCATCTCCTCTTTGCATAAATCCTACCCCCACCTCCATCTCCAGAAGCATTCTCTCTGCATATATAGGCAGCCAACACTGACATGATGCTGCATGAACCCAAGAACTGTAATCCCTACCCAGGTACAGGAATGCTCACCCTTATGGCCCAATGGTCCAAAATCATCCCTTATTCCTTCTCCCCTCCCCCACCCAAACTGCAGACCTCCATCCTTTGCATCTGTGTGCAAGCTCCTACTCATCCTTTAAGACTCAGCTCAAGAGTCACAGGTCGAGTTCTTCTTCCTCTGTGTTCCCATAGAGCCTACAGCTATCTGTATCAAAGCACTAGTTATATTGCTGTAGTTATTTGTTTACCTTCTATATTCCCAACTAGACTCTGAACATCTCAAGGGCAAGAACCATGTTGTACTTACCTTTGAATTTCCTTTACCAAGAATAGTATTTGGCTCATAGTAAGTGCTTAATAAACATTTGATGAATAAATGAATGATTGCTCTATCAATCCTGTTGGTGGTAGAGAATTAATCCAAAAATATATTGCTCATGGTGCAATTTCAGGCATATTGCAGGCTGATAGAAAAGAAATTTTTAGACCAAGAGACCTGCCCTACTTCTATCAATCATCTCATAAAATATCTACATGAAAGACTGCTCTTGAGCTGGTAGCTAACGTTCCTGGAAAAACTCCCTGGCAGGTTACCCAGGGAGATTAGTTTAAAGGGAGGTTGTTACACTTGTCCTCTCATCATTGTTTAGTGAGTGCCTTAGCTAAAAAGATCCTCTGCTAGGGGATTGGAACTCTGCATGAAAGTTTTAGCTTTTATTTGTCTATTAAGAGGCCCATGTTATGGGCAAAGGGCTGTCTGTTGACCTCGTAGACCATTATTCACAGCATCTGTCTTTGGCAATTTCCTACCTGTGGACATTGTGTTTACTTATACTACATTTGCCATCCTTGCATTTGCCAATGTCCCATCTGTAACACCTGGATGTATCCATTTCTATCTCCCAGCATCTGTCTTTTACAGGCTTTTTTGACAAAATTTATGTTAAGGGATTTCACC